AAGACATAGCTCATTGATTTCAGCGTCAAAAATTGAGGTCTTTACCTTTTTGGAATGCATCTCCTCTGAGAGGAGGATCCAAGATACACCCAATCGGTAGCCGAAGGCTACGTTATCAGCTTTGATTAGGATGAAACGAAAATCTACGTGTCTTATTCTGAGATCTGAAGATTTTCTTTCGAACTTCGAGCATTTCCATGCAAATGTTTCATGGCCATCTTCTTCACGAGAGAAATGCATTAGTTTTACGTCAATTTAATGTATATTTCACACATTCAAAGTGTTAACATAGATTTGCTCCCTTGTAAATGTCTAACTTTCTGGAGCTGTCGATTTTAGCACTGGAATCGGAAGTTACAAGGACAACAGACGAAACAATGAGGCGTGGGCTTTCTCCACTTATCCTAAAAATCATACTTTGAAGATGTTCGCATAATCGTTGGTGCACTTTATCAATAGTTCGTAATAATTCAAATTGCGCCTAGCTTTTTTACACTTATGCTGATGATGTTGATTCATGTGAGTGTCGACCAAAGTTGATTTTCGGCGCATTTTAATTCCAGAACTGTTCAGAACCACATCATTTCTCATTCAGACGTAGTCCTGAATGAAAAATGATGCGTGGATTATGTTTCCTACCCATTTGAACTTTTAATTCCTTGTGAATATGTATTGAGTTGAATATGTGGTAGATTTAACATTTATCAAAGGCATTGTATATCATAGCTTCTTTGAAACACTGGAAAGTATCTGTCATGCAGAAATTCGCGCTAGAGATCTTTGCTAAATTGCTCAATATCTTTATCTGTACCTTTTGCTCAGTATTAATTGTTTTTTCCCGATTTATGCATAAGTCAGTCAAGCTCCAAATTAGCTGTGTGTTAACAATGATTTATTGCTTCTGCAGCATGTGAGTGCGAAAAGATTTGACTTGTATGAGACTGATTGTGAATTGTTCGTTGTCATTTCAGCCATCTCAGAGCATTGATAACAATTTTGTGGTGGTAGTATCTTGACGGACTTTGAAGGGGTATGTCTGAAACAACGAAGCTTTGGCATGTCTAAGCAAAAGCCCTCCTGCCTACCTGCCTTTCCTGGCACTTGAATAGGATGCTTGTTTTGAAAGAGTTTCCTTCTTTGGAGTTTGCTCTTCCTGCATAACTTCGGTTCTTCGGATAGCACCTTATCA